GTAACAGTGGTAACTCAGTTTTGTTTGTTTGTTTGTTTGCTTGCCTGCTTGTTTAACGCCGCACTTTGCAATATTCCAGCTATATGACGGCGATCTGTAAATAATCGAGTCTGGACATAGTAGCCTTTTAGGGCAAGCATGGGTTTCTGAAGATCTATTCTACCCCGGATCTTCACAGGTCTCACAGGTTCTGTATACACTACTATCCAGATTAATCTGTATAATTAAAACTATCTGAATGAATGAAATGCACAATCACGGGGGTAACCTCCCAAAACCCCTACATCCCATTTCCCCTACAGCTTAAGACAACAAAGTTCAAGGTCCATGGCACTGCGTAGTGTATTCACAGATTCACAGATAACACATGATTGGGAAGACGACGCTATTGTTGCTGCAAAATGGTGCCAAGATCTTGCAAATTCTGTGGTTGGTTCTGGAGAGTGCGCAGACTTCTGCCAAGAGCATCCCAGACGTGTTCGATGGGATTGAGGTCGGGAGACCTTGACGGCCAGTCCATGAGGTTGACTTCTCAAAATTGCTGTGTGGGGTCTGGCATTGTCGTGTTGGAAGATCAAAGCGGGTCCATGTGCTGCCATAAAAGGCAGAAGTACTGGTGCCAGTACCTGGTCGCGGTAAGCAGCAGCGTTGAGTTTGCCACGGATGACAAGAAGCCTGGAACGTGCATTGCAACAGAAAGCACCCCACATCATGACACTTCCGCCTCGAAATCTGTCAACTTCCTGTACACAACACTTGGCGTAACGTTCATGACGGCGCCTCCACAACCTCGCCCTACCATCAGCAAATCGAAGATTAAATCGGTATTCATCACTGAAGACGACTTGATTCCAATTCCATCGTAAGTGTCGCTGTGCCCACAATTGACGTTGACGTATGTGTAATTGAGTCAGAATCGGCCCGCAGTACGGCCGTCGTGCTTGAAGGTGAGCAGTTCTCAGACGGTTTTCGAACAGTTTGCGCACTCAGTCTACCCCTAAACAGTTGATTTCTGGTTGATGTAGCCGTCAAAAATCGGTTGCGTAGGTGACGTAAGACAATCTGACGATCCTCTGCATGTGACGTCACACGTGGTCGACCTGGCCGAGGGCAATCAGCGGTGGTACCCGTTTGCTGTAGACGCGTCTGTAAATCATAAACAGTCCGTCGACTACAACCCATCGTCCTTGCGACTTCAGCTACGGGCGTTCCCGTCTGCAACATGCCGATGGCACGTTCACGTTGCACATTTGAAAGGCGTGGCATGACAAATGGCCGTAAAGACTTTTGTTTTCTTGGTTTTTTTTGGTTTTTTTTAATGACTGCTAACAAGTATGGCTGAAAACATGTGCGGTATTATGGCCACGTGACCAGTTGCACGTGAAAAACCACTTTTGCTACTAAAGTGCTGTGCACATGATTTTGATCGATTCACAAGACAATATGTGAAGACAATATGTGGCCATTACTGTTTAAATACACAATAAGGGCCCAAAATGATAACTGGTCAAAATGTTAAAATTTAAGGATTGTGAAGTTTTTAATTTGGTTCAGTATATATACTGATGCTACTACTACTACTACTACTACTACTACTACTACTACTACTACTACTACTATATGGCTACCCAAAGCAAATCTTTGTGTGTCTACATGTATGCAATTCCACGAGTGTTATATGAAAAACGATATCATTGATCAATCATCCATCCATGCAGTAATGAGCCTGTTTTTAAAGGCTGGTGATAGCAGGAACCCGAGGGTGGACACTGTCCATTTGGTTATTACCTGAAAATTTCACCTGAAATCGTCACAGAATTTCATTGGTCCATTCATGTGATTTTCACCACATTTTGTTGTTCACGCCCGGTGAAATCTGTTTCGGCGGATAACCGAGACTGGTTGCTCTCTGGTGTTGACGTTTTATTTGCTAAAGTACAAGTATGGTGACTGCAAAGAAGTTTAACTGACAATGGAAATAATAAATGATTACAGGCATAGTCGTCTCTTACAGCCATAGTCGCCTCTTACAGACATAGTCGTCTCTTACAGGCATAGTCGTCTCTTAAAGGCATAGTCGCCTCTTAAAGGCATAGTCGTTTCTTACAGGCATAGTAGCCTCTTACAGGCATAGTCGCCTCTTACAGGCATAGTCGCCTCATACAGGCATAGTCGCCTCTTAGATGCATAGTCGCCTCTTACAGGCATAGTCGTCTCTTACAGGCATAGTCGCCTCTTACAGGCATAGTCGTTTCTTACAGGCATAGTCGTTTCTTACAGGCATAGTCGCCTCTTACAGGCATAGTCGTCTCTTACAGGCATAGTCGCCTCTTACAGGCATAGTCGTCTCTTACAGGCATAGTCGCCTCTTACAGGCATAGTCGCCTCTTACAGGCATAGTCGCCTCTTACAGGCATAGTCGTTTCTTACAGGCATAGTCGCCTCTTACATGCTTAGTCGCCTCTTACAGGCATAGTCGTCTCTTACAGGCATAGTCGTTTCTTACAGGCATAGTCGCCTCTTACAGACATAGTCGTTTCTTACAGGCATAGTCGCCTCTTACAGGCATAGTCGCCTCTTCCAGGCATAGTCGTCTCTTACAGGCATAGTCAGCTCTTACAGGCATAGTCGCCTCTTACAGGCATAGTCGCCTCTTACAGGCATAGTCGCCTCTTACAGGCATAGTCGCCTCTTACAGGCATAGTCGTCTCTTACAGGCATAGTCGTTTCTTACAGGCATAGTCGCCTCTTACAGACATAGTCGTTTCTTACAGGCATAGTCGCCTCTTACAGGCATAGTCGCCTCTTACAGGCATAGTCGTCTCTTACAGGCATAGTCAGCTCTTACAGGCATAGTCGCCTCTTACAGGCATAGTCGCCTCTTACAGGCATAGTCGCCTCTTACAGGCATAGTCGCCTCTTACAGGCATAGTCGTCTCTTACAGGCATAGTCGTCTCTTACAGGCATAGTCGCCTCTTACAGGCATAGTCGTCTCTTACAGGCTTACAGGTACAGGCACCTGTTACAGGCATATTCGTCTCTGACAGGCATAGTCAGTTTGGGGAACTGAAGACCAATTCTAACCATATTGTTTAATGAAAGGGTCAAGTTTCATCTCCATTTGAGTCTCGCTGCTGTCCTCGGATAATGTCCTGCTCGATTGCACACATCCATGTGTGTGTGAATGTGTGTGTGTAATTGTGAATTGTGTGCGCGCGCGTGCGTGTGTGCGCGTCTGCGTATGTGTGCATGTGTGCGTATGTATGAGTATCTGTGTGCATGTGTGTGCTATGTATGTGAGATGTGTGTAAGTGTATGTATATGCATGTGTGTGCGTATGTACATGTATATGCATGTGTATGCGTATGTACATATATATGCATGTCTGTATGTTTGTATGTGTATGCGACTGTATGTGTGTGTACGTTTGTTTATGTGTTGTATTGTTATGTGTGTGTGTAGGTTTATGTGCGTGTGTATATGTGTCTGTCTGTCTGTCTGTATGTATGTTCAATATACAAATGAACAGTTTTATACATTTATGTATGTGTGTACGCGTTTAAGTGTTGTATTGCTATGTGTGTGTAGGTTTATGTGTGTGTATGCGTTTATATATGTGTATGTATGTATGTATGTATGTATGTATGTATGTATGTATGTATGTATGTATGTATGTATGTATGTATGTGTTCAATACACAAATGAACAGTTTTATAAATTTAATCTGGCTGTCCACACGATGATAGCTGGACATACAAGTTTTAAGTAAAGCCATATGAGACCGTGTGGAGAAGACATGATGTAATACATCCGTCACAAAACAACTCACACATTATCACATAACCAAAGTGGGTGACAAACTGAATCATACGGAACCCTTTTTGGGCCATTTCTTTTTAAAATTTTCTTTCGTTACTTTCTTGGAATTTCAAGATACTAAGTTGAAATTTCAAGATAGTATCTTGAAATTTCAACTTAGTATCTTGAAATTTCAACTTAGTATCTTGAAATTTCAACTTATTATCTTGAAATTTCAACTTAGTATCTTGAAATTTCAACTTCTGTATCTTGATATTTCAAGATAGTATCTTGAAATATCAACTTAGTTTCTTGAAATTTCAACTTAGTATCTTGAAATTTCAAGACAGTATCGACTTTTCTTTTAAAAAAACACATGGCCCTAAAATGCTTCCGTAGAATCAGACCTATTTAATTGTTGTTTCCATCAATGGAGATGTTCCTGTACATTCAATGTGTACACGTGTGTTGTGTTGTCGTGTCATACGCAGAGACCATACCATGATTTCCACGTGTTACACAGATGTTTTGATACGAGATCCAAATGTGTGAATGTCTAATGCATAAATGTCAACATTGTAGGGTCGGTTTGATAGTTCAGTTCTAATGCGTCCGCTACTGACAGTTCATCTCCAGAATGATATACACGAATCTGAAGGACACACCAGTACGTGGAATTGCGCATTATATTAATTCGGAATGTTGCACATAATGCCTGCTGCTTCCTTTCAATCAGGTTTATTGATGTATAAAATATATGTCTGTCAGGCACATGCGCCTGGACAGCAGGTAACGTCAGGGGAAGCAGGCGACAGGAAGCGAGTGGCAGGTGATTATTTTACGTGCGCTTCTTAAAGATGCATACGCCGAAATTCTCTTTGAACAGTTAAGTCCCTTAGACCAGTCGTCACCACTCGCCCCTTTCCGTAACCTGCAAGAAGTCTCGTCCCCCTATCGATGAATGTTATGTGCGAAAATACGACAAACCAATCAGAATGCGCGTATGATTTCAAGTTCTTCGTCAAAGAATCCCTCAGAAATAAGTTTTGCTTTTACGTATGTCTTGCATCTAAAAATATACCCAAGGCACAGTTAAATGTTAGTAAAACATCGGGGTGCGTGTTCCATAATAACTACACAAGCATTTATCTTAGTCTTTTTTTTTAACACGACAAAAAATAATAATAAAAACAAAAACACGAACGATGAAGACATTTTATGATGTCATGATCTGATCTGTACACAGATTAGTCGTAGTTCTCACGCGTTCACCGCAGTACCTGCAAAATACAAAACATCGCCATATTTAAGTAACTGACTAAAATTATTCAACATTTCAGAAAAGGTAATAAATAATAGGTTACCGAGATTATGTTAAAATACCTTCTATGCATCAGGTTTAGCATTAACTATCACATTCACAAAATACGCTGATATTCATTTCATTGTATCAAAAGATATACGCTTATATTCCTATCGTCTTGTGTGGATGGTCCATATTATGTTTGTTTGTTTGTTTATTTGTTTGTTGTTTAACGCCCCACTCAGCAATATTCCAGCTATATGACGGCGGTCTGTAAATAATCGAGTCTGGACCAGACAATCCAGTGATTGACATCATGAGCATCGAACCACGCAATTGGGATACGATGACAAGCATCAACCAAGTCAGCAAGCCTGACTACCCGATCCCGTTAGTCGCCTTTTATGACAAGCATAGTCGCCTTCTATGGCAAGCATGGGTTGCTGAAGACCTATTCTTCCCCGGATCTTCACGGGTCTCCATATTATGTAAAGTACACACGGACGTATTACACTTCAGAACACCAAGTGTGACTATTTCATCAATGGATGTGAAATTGAAATACAAGCAGCGTAACTTGTCTTTGCGGTTATGGAAGTACAGAAATCCTTACCGGCATCAGCTTATGTCATCAACATTTGTGCATCTCTCGCATTGAATGACACCTCGTCCTGTGATTGGTCAGTATTCCGTTCCTTGTAAATGTCTTCGCCCTCAAGATCTGAAGCGCATCATGTTCAGATAATTTTAACCTTGAACCCGTTTATGCATAAATAGGTCTAAATAGTGTCTGTAGAAATTAAAAAAGAATAAAGCAAAATCCGGTTTGAAGGAGTGCCGAAGACACCAGCCTGGTTCCCTGGGTATGATGCGCTGGCGCTACACTCAGCATACCAGGGAACCAGGCTGCGGAGACACGGGCTCTATTCTTTACATGGTGAACCTCCATAGAAATATGGATGGAATATTCCAAAAGCGTAATTTCTTGTGTAGTATGTGATAGCTATGTCCCGAATTGGTACAGTTATAATATAACGGTATAACAGATGCTGTCGATACAGATGTTTTGAGATTATCATTGCCTGTATTGTTCTATAATCAACCTCATTACTATTACACGTGAAATAAACAGGAATTATCAGCTGATATACGGTATGTATCAGTTTGTGTGCATTTAATAGAATAACCTTATTTCATACTGACGGGATGGGTAGGGATGGGGTCGTGCGTACGGTACTATCTGTTCTCTATTAGCCAATAAACGGGGCCTTTGATATCGCCCCCAGCAAAGATATGATTGGTTGTAAAACGTGAAGACAATATCAGGTACTCACCTCTTCCGTGTAACTTTGTTGTACTGGTTAACCATCTCGCGTTCCTCCTCCATCTCTTAGACCGAAACAACCAACGTCCCTTAGGCCTAAGGCCGTCAGTCTGTTGCATTTCTAAACACACGAGGACAAGCAGCAACAGCAACAGCAGTTTCATCACGTTTAGCTGTGGAACAACGTGAGAAGTGAAAGGGTGGTGTGTGTGTGTGAGTGTGTGTGTGTGTGTGTGTGTGCGTGCGTTTGTGTGTGTGTGTGTGTGTGTGTGTGTGTGTGTGTGTGTGTGTGTGTGTGTGTGTGTGTGTGTGTGTGTGTGTGTGTGTGTGTGTGTGTGTGCGCGCGTGCGTTTGTGTGCGTTTGTGTGTGTGTCCAGTTCATGTAAATTAAAAACCTCAACGCAAAGACAAAATAGCTGTGAAATTAATATGAATGGATCACTGAAAATGAGTGATTTGCGAAATGGGTTATCAGTTTTCAGATAAAGGGAATAAATAGGAAACAAATACTACTACATGACATTGCATTGAATGTTTATACAACAAAATCTAAAATAACAAACATTGAAAAATCTGATAAAATCTGTGTACAATAAAATGCATACAGACACTTCTAGGCGATAACTGTAAAAATGTTTATACACTATCCTTCAGTTGAAAATGGTTCCTGCAGGTATAGGTAATGCTTGATGAATGCAAATAATTCAACCGGGAAATATTTCGGTTTTTGTATCATATGTTTTTACACACGCACGCATGTATGCACGCACGCACGCACTCACGCACGCGTGTGGAACCGCGCATGGTATGCATAATGACTCACTCTTAGCCAAAATGAAGTCAAAACAGTCAACAACACATATACTCACAATACGTCTCTTCAGAAAGGGCCGGTTTTGGAATAAGTGAGTCAATATAGCTTTAGAAACTACTAATGAATTAGATCACTACACAAAGTAGTTATATACAGGCATCAGTAACAGCTTAGATCATCACCGTCATATGCAGCGACAACCTTTGACCTCACGACAGTTCAACGTGTTGCTATCAATTAGTCACAACATATGCTCTGTTTGACAAATGATAATCTCATGACCTAATGGCTTTGCTGTAACCACCAAACGGACTCGAGCAGTTTTAGGTGGTCTGTTGATTATTAATGTTGCTTATATTATAACATTAGCAATAATATCAATGAACAGATAAGTATATCATAATATTATGTCATTTATTTCAAAACTTACATAAACAAACATTGAAATATCTCAAGGTAGTGTTGCGATATCACTGAGTTTTGATTTACACTGAACCTATCACTCAAACATAATCCTGCTTTTATCTTGAGTGAGTGAGAAAATACCAGTGGGTTGGTGAGTGAGTGAGTGATGGTAATGACGCGTTGAAATTATTTCAGATACATCACAGCAAGTCACAGCATATCACAGCATGTCACAGCATGTCACAGCAGTATGACATGTAGGAGGCAAGCAAGTGATGCATATCCCAGACCGCTTTGATGAAGCCAACAAACACGGGTATGGCGCTCGAAAAATCAAGAAACACAATCAGGGCAAATCTTGAACTCAATCCCACGATAAAATGTGTCTGATTCGCTTCAGTGTTCATGTGAACACTGGACTAAAACTCATGACAATAGTATTTCAAGTCACTGTTCAAGTGGACATGGGACTAGAACTCATGACAATAGTATTTAAAGTCACTGTTCACGTGGACATGGGACTAGAACTCATGACAACAGTATTTCAAGTCACTGTTCAAGTGAACATGGGACTAGAACTCATGACAATAGTATTTCAAGTCACTGATCACGTGGACATGGGACTAGAACTCATGACAATAGTATTTCAAGTCACTGTTCAAGTAGACATGGGACTAGAACTCATGACAATAGTATTTCAAGTCACTGTCCAAGTGGACATGGGACTAGAACTCATGACAACAGTCATTAAAGTCACTGTTCAAGTGGACATGGGACTAGAACTCATGACAATAGTATTTCAAGTCACTGTTCACGTGGACATTGGACTAGAACTCATGACAACAGTCATTAAAGTCACTGTTCAAGTGGACATGGGACTAAAACTCATGACAATAGTATTTCAAGTCACTGTTCAAATGGACATGGGACTAGAACTCATGACAATAGTATGTCAAGTCACTATTCAAGTGGACATGGGACTAGAACTCATGACAATAGTATTTCAAGTCACTGTTCAAGTGGACATGGGACTAGAACTCATGACAACAGTATTTCAAGTCACTGTTCAAGTGAACACAGGACTAGAACTCATGACAACAGTCATTAAAGTCACTGTTCAAGTGGACATGGGACTAGAACTCATGACAATAGTATTTAAAGTCACTGTTCACGTGGACATGGGACTAGAACTCATGACAATAGTATGTCAAGTCACTATTCAAGTGGACATGGGACTAGAACTCATGACAATAGTATTTCAAGTCACTGTTCAAGTGGACATGGGACTAGAACTCATGACAACAGTATTTCAAGTCACTGTTCAAGTGAACACAGGACTAGAACTCATGACAACAGTCATTAAAGTCACTGTTCAAGTGGACATGGGACTAGAACTCATGACAATAGTATTTAAAGTCACTGTTCACGTGGACATGGGACTAGAACTCATGACAACAGTATTTAAAGTCACTGTTCAAGTGAACACAGGACTAGAACTCATGACAATAGTATTTCAAGTCACTGTTCAAATGGACATGGGACTAGAACTCATGACAATAGATTTTCAAGTCACTGTTCAAGTGGACATGGGACTAGAACTCATGACAATAGTATTTAAAGTCACTGTTCAAGTGAAAACAGGACTAGAACTCATGACAATAGTATTTCAAGTCACTGTTCAAATGGACATGGGACTAGAACTCATGACAATAGTATTTAAAGTCACTGTTCACGTGGACATGGGACTAGAACTCATGACAATAGTATTTAAAGTCACTGTTCAAGTGAACACAGGACTAGAACTCATGACAATAGTATTTCAAGTCACTGTTCAAATGGACATGGGACTAGAACTCATGACAATAGAATTTCAAGTCACTGTTCAAGTGGACATGGGACTAGAACTCATGACAATAGTATTTCAAGTCACTGTTCAAGTAGACATGGGACTAGAACTCATGACAATAGTATGTCAAGTCACTGTCCAAGTGGACATGGGACTAGAACTCATGACAACAGTCATTAAAGTCACTGTTCAAGTGGACATGGGACTAGAACTCATGACAATAGTATTTCAAGTCACTGTTCACGTGGACATTGGACTAGAACTCATGACAACAGTCATTAAAGTCACTGTTCAAGTGGACATGGGACTAAAACTCATGACAATAGTATTTCAAGTCACTGTTCAAGTGGACATGGGATGAGAACTCATGACAATAGTATGTCAAGTCACTATTCAAGTGGACATGGGACTAGAACTCATGACAATAGTATTTCAAGTCACTGTTCAAGTGGACATGGGACTAGAACTCATGACAACAGTATTTCAAGTCACTGTTCAAGTGAACACAGGACTAGAACTCATGACAACAGTCATTAAAGTCACTGTTCAAGTGGACATGGGACTAGAACTCATGACAACAGTCATTAAAGTCACTGTTCAAGTGGACATGGGACTAGAACTCATGACAATAGAATTTCAAGTCACTGTTCAAGTGAACAGAGGACTAGAACTCATGACAATAGTATTTCAAGTCACTGTTCAAGTGGACATGGGACTAGAACTCATGACAACAGTATTTCAAGTCACTGTTCAAGTGAACAGAGGACTAGAACTCATGACAACAGTCATTAAAGTCACTGTTCAAGTGGACATGGGACTAGAACTCATGACAACAGTCATTAAAGTCACTGTTCAAGTGGACATGGGACTAGAACTCATGACAACAGTCATTAAAGTCACTGTTCAAGTGGACATGGGACTAGAACTCATGACAACAGTCATTAAAGTCACTGTTCAAGTGGACATGGGACTAGAACTCATGACAATAGTATTTCAAGTCAATGTTCAAGTGGACATGTGACTAGAACTCATGACAACAGTCATTAAAGTCACTGTTGAAGTGGACATCTGATAAGAACTCATGACAACAGTATTTCAAGTCACTGTTCAAGTAGACATGAGATGAGAACTCATGACAACAGTCATTAAAGTCACTGTTCAAGTGGACATGGGACTAGAACTCATGACAATAGTATTTCAAGTCACTGTTCAAGTGGACATGGGACTAGAACTCATGACAATAGTATTTCAAGTCACTGTTCAAGTGGACATCTGATAAGAACTCATGACAACAGTATTTCAAGTCACTGTTCAAGTAGACATGAGATGAGAACTCATGACAACAGTCATTAAAGTCACTGTTCAAGTTTACATAGACTGGTGATTCCTGTCAATATATCCTTTATGCATTAAAATGTAGAGTTTGTTACTCACAGGCCACAATTTAATAGTTTAACGTATTAGCTTCAGTACTAGGTGTTGTCCCCATGTCCAAATGTAGTAAATAAACCATATCATATGCATTTACTGGGAACTTACACATCATTTACCGAGAGAGAAGATTGATTTTCAGTTGGCTTGAAACAGATGTTTTCACGGACTCCAACGAGGATCTGATCTGATACTGATCATCTAGTTTTAGTAATAACATCATACTCAGTAGGTGATCTGCAATGAACGTGATGGTAACACCACCCACAATCATTGCCTACACGTTATCTCCTGTGTCCATATGTCATTTGGTGTCACTGTGACCCACGAAGCATAACTGACTCCCGGATATGGTGCGGGTCATGTCAGTGAACATGTGCACATATCCACGTCATTGTGTCATATGCGACATCCCTATCATTCTGTATTATCCTTGCATATTTAAGTGATTGCTCATTTATAAAATGACGTGTGGATACCAGAACTTTCAGCTTCTCGCCAAAATGTGTATTAGAATATAACATATTCGTGGAGTTTAACACTGTAGTACAAAGCCTTGTTGATCAGGGTTACAGCATTCAGGGTCTTAGTACGGCTGTCAAAAGGTTTTATTGTAGTCGTGTGTGTACATTTTTATATGACCTCATCAAGGGGGCAAAACTGATGTTCTATGCAGTTCCCGACTTTGACGTAAACCATATGTTCCCGTATCTGTTCTTGTGATCACATGCTTGACTTTGCATGTATTTGTGACGGGTTCCATTGCTTAAGCAGGGTAAGTTCATCCGTTAGCAAACACCTGGTATCATCACTACTTGAGCGTGATTCATAAACACATACATATGATACAGTAGGAATTGTACAATGGACCCTACTTTTAATAGAGATTTCTTATGATTATGGAAATGTTTTTGTCGCTTTTATCTCTCAAGTTTGATGACCTGAATTGTATGCTGTATAATTTACATATATACGGCCAAAGGAAACTTTACGAAGCTGAACAATTTCATAATTGAACAGACACAATTCAACATAGTCCCAACACACCCATGCAGCGTGATGACTGTGAAATGCACGCTATATGTTCGAAGAGCAAGTATGTCTAAACCACTTGACCAAAAGATTGTTTGACTGCACATGCATTTGGGGTAAAGAATGTTGCGGTGCTATGATAAACATTCTCTTCATATCTGGCCAAGCTTAAAGCGTGAACAAGAGAATGAGTTAGTGAGTATGGTTTTACGCCGCTTTTAGCAATATTCCAGCAATATCACGGCGGGGGACACCAGAAATGGGCTTCACACATTGTACCCATGTCGGGAATCGAACCCGAGTCTTCGGCGTGACGAGCGAACGCCTTAACCACTAGGCTACCCGACCGCACCCGTGAACAAGAGAATCTGACATGTATTCAACTTGTTACCCAACTGTCTCCAAAGTGTGAAAAAATGTATGACTTTTGTCATTTTAATATTCAAACCAACAATAACTTTTATCACTTTTATTTAAATGTTTTTCATATCCAACTGC